AGCCCCATAGCAGCACAGCCCCATGGCAGCACAGCCCCAAAGCCCAGCCCCACGGCCGGAGGACTTTGCACAGGGGGAAGCAGCAGCGCAGGGCATTATGGCGGCCATAAAGCAGCTTTGGGAATAAGCTGGGCCGTTCCTTGTCACTTTTTAGGCAGCGCTGCTGAGAGGGGATTAAAGCTTAAGGGGAGCAGGTGAGGGGAGATGGAGGGGATAAGGAAAAGGAAATGAGGGCTGCTGCCAACGGGGGGGTTATGGGGGGGACGGGAGATCAGCGCTGCGATGCTCAGTGCTGGGACGCGGCGCCTTTGGAGATGGGGGGCCTGCAGAGCAGAGCTGCTGGCCAGCTGAGGGCACAGCTGGACACGGCGTGCAGCTCTGCGTGCGCAGGGCAGAGATGGTGGGGATGAGAAGCACCGCTGCCTCTCCTCCACCACAGAACAGCTGGAAACGGCTCCAGACAGCGGGGAAACGGGAGAGCGAGGGGCTGCGAACTGGGAGAGCAAAGAGCTGGGGTGTAACAGAGCTGGGACTGGGAGCGCGAGAGCTGGAACTGGAAACTGGGAGAGCAAAGAGCATCCCCTCCCCACCCCCAAATCCGCGCCTTCCTCCCCGCGCTGCACCACGCTTCCCACACGCAGCCCTGACCCCCGGACAGCACAGCGCGGTCCTCCGCGTGCTGCATCAGCACTAATGATAATTCACAGCTGCTCTGCTCTGCTCTGCAGCAGAGGATGCTGCAGGGTGCAGCTGTGGCTGCTTCTGCTCCGAGCGCAGCGGGGCAGAGCGCTGCAGGTGCGATGCGTCCCTGCCCACCAACACGGCTCTCCATGCAGCATCACTCCTCACCCACTGCCCAGGGCTGAACCCACAGAGCTGCAGGAAAGGCCTTAACGTTGTCACCTCCTCTTGGATCCCCTCGTGTTGGTGGCCGGAGCCCGATGGTCCTTCAGGTCCGTTCCAAGCCATGCTGTGATCCCACGGTTCCACCCCCAGCCCACTGACACCCCTCCTTGGAACGGACCCACGGAGCTGCAGGCACACAAACCCTCCTTCCAGTGCCAGCAGAACGCTGGAAGCAAACGTTCATGTATGTTTCATGAGGACAATGTAGATAAGCAGCAGCTCCCAGCACCGCGCTGGCTCTGCTCTTCCTTTGCTTTTCTTTCTTTCTTTCCCCTTTTTCCTCCCCTCCCCAAGGAATGAGGGCTTTCTGGCAGCAGATGGACCCACGGCCAGCGCTGCGTCCCCACGGCAGAACCTCGCGGTGCCGCCGATTTCGCTCCCACATTTGGGCACAAACAACAACTTTAAGGAAAAGAAAAACCAAAAAAAACCCAACAAAACCCCACAAACCAAGGCTCCGTGTCAGCCCCCAGCTCAAATCGTTGCTCTGCAATTTGCAGCACTTACTGTCAGCTCCGACTCGCTGCCTCTCATTTCTGCTCCCTTCTCGTGCATCTCCGCGTTCCCAGGAGCGGCGCAGGGCTGCCAGCCCCTCCCCATGGGGGTCTCACCCACCAGGACCCCCCTGTACCCCCGTCCTTCTCTGCAGTTTGCCCCCCACGACCCCCACGTCCTCCTCCGTGAAGCTGCCCCCCACGACCCCCACTGCAGAGGTGTCCCCCGGGACCCCCGACCCTTCTCCACGGGGTTCCCACCAGGGTCCCCAGTGTCCCTAAGGAGCGCGCAGTGACGAAGCTCGCTGTGGCTCACATCACGATGTCAGTACTTACTTTTTCAAGGGCTCAATCACCGTCTTCTGGATCTGATTGACCTGTTGGCAGCCAAAAGGCTGGTTACGTGGCAGCCTGCCTGCCCTGGGACAAGCGCCTTTCAGCACCACCAAAAACCCCAAATGCTTGGGTTGGGCCAACGTCCCCGGCACAACCAGAGCCAGGTTATGGGGTACTGGTGTGGGAAGAGCCCTGGGATGGCGACACAACAGCAGCCCCCCCAGCCAAACCCGTGCTCACCTTCTCCTGGTTGAAGGAGTCCATCCTCCTCATGGCGGTGTCGAAGGCGGTGACCATCTCCAGGAAGGCAGCGTCCTGCTCGCACAGCGGGTTGGACAGCAGGTCTGAAGAGATCTTCACTGCTGATTTGGACATGGCTGAGCGCGGCGGGACGGGGGGCAAGCAAAGGAAACGGGGACAATGAGGGACACGGCCTGGTGGGCACAGCGGGTGGGGTGGGGTTGGACGTGGGGTCTCGGCAGCCTTTGTTCACCTGCGTGGCTCTATGGGCATGGTGGGGTGGGGTGGGTTTGGACTTGGGGGTCTCAGCAGATCTTTGCTACCTTGATGGCTCTGTGGGCACAGTGGGGATGAGCTGGGGTTGGATTTGGGGGGTCCTGGTGGTCCTTTCCACCCTTCACAGTTCTCTGGGCATGGGTCAATAGCAGACATGATGGAGGTTTTAGTGCTCTTTCCCAATCTTTGGGGTGGGTTGGGGTCGGCCTGGGGGGTCTCAGCAGTCCCTTCTAACCCTGAGGGTTCCCTGGGCACGGTGGGGACGGTCAGCAGCCAACATGAGGGTGGTTTTAGTGCTCCTTTCCAGCCTTAATGGTTCTGTAACGTGACTCTGACAGTGAGCCACATGTCGTGGCAGTGGGGACAAACACGGGGACCTCGGCCACCACGGGGACTGCATCAGTTTCCCAAAGGACATCCCAGGGGGACATCCATCGTCCGCCCTGTCACCACGCTGCTTTGATCTGAGTCGTGTCTGCACTGCTTCCACACACGGCCTCAACACAGCCAGAAATCACAGCAGCCTTTGCAGAACCGCGGCTCTCTTTAAGGAAAATCGATGCAGACGGCTTTTCCATCCCGCCTTTGCTCTGCAGACCATTAAGTGTCACTCTCAGGCTCTCTCCAGCTCTTCCACAAGAGAAATCACAGCCCGTCACATCTCCCAGCACCTTTATGAACATATCATCTACTGCAGGGGTTTCGTGCTGCTGGGAGAGCAGCAGAGCAGCGGGCCTGGAGGACGGGGCTTCTCCCTCTCGACATACATGAGCTGGATAAATGCTTCCCCCCTGGAGCCAACTGGAATTTGGGGACACAGAGCTGAATGCTCCACGGGCTCCTCCTGCCTTCCATCAGACACGTCTGCCTTCCCACCCGTGCTGTTGGCCTTGGGAAGGAGATTTAAACCCCTACAACACAACTGCTGCAAAGATCAGCAAAGTAACTATGGAAGTGAATGGAAAACAGGAATTAAAAGGCCATCGTCGGTGCGTATAAAGGAATAAAGCAAAAAAGAAGCCATGGCTCTGAACAGATCTGCTCTCTCTCAGCAGCGCTGCTGAGGCAGACTGGGAGGCAGACGTGCAATGGGGCGGCTTTGGGAGGACCCCGACTGCACCAACCCCGATCCAGAGCCCCATTACTGGGGCTTTATGATCTCTTAAGATCATAAATCAAGGGGTTAAACACTCAGCTTTAAAGGTTACGTGCAATTATAGGAGAGCTCAGAATTGTGCTGTGATAACACAGCTCCATCCCAGCACGGAGGGTCCGGGCGCTCAAACCTTCACCCCGTGACATCACCCCGAGTGCAGGACCACAGCTGAAGGATTTGTGCCCAGAGAGGCAGAGCTGCTCCTGCTGGGAGGAAATGAGCTGCCCATGGGCTGAGCCTCCCCAAGGCTGAGTGGGGTGAGCCGGGTTTGCCCTCCTTTCCTTGCAGCCCCCCCTGCTCCGCTTTGCGCCTTTAAATGAGAAATCAGCCCGCGTTTGGCCGGGGCTCATTTGTGACTCTGCCATGGAACAGAACGGAAAAAGAAAGTCCTCCCACAGCTCCTCTGGGGCTTGAAATGCTCCGTGCAAACAACGCCCACCGCATGGGAGGGGAATCCTGAACAAGGAAAATCTTACCCAGGATCCCCAACAGCGCCCTGCGTCCCCTCAAAGGGCAACTCTGCAGCCTGCATGGGGCTCCTCCTGCTCCTGCTTTTGCATCTGCATGGCACAGAACGCCCTCCGCAGCAGCACGCAGATGTGCTCCCTGCCCAGTGCTGCTCATCCCTGCCAGCAGCCCAGGGCACAGCAGCAAGCGCTGCCCATGGCCACGCAGCAATGCAAGCCTGCACTGAGCTCCCCGTGCTGAGCTCTGCTCACAGCCCTGCAACCAGAGTGGGGCTGAGAGCTGCTTGTTGTGCAGCCCTATCACAGGTTCCTGGTGTGACCCTGAGGTCTCCCCCCCGTCTCCCCGTGGCCAAGTTCACGGGCTGTGCCTCCTGCACTCACGTACCCAAATCTGCGTCCGTGCTTTTCTTCATATCCTTCTGAAGTTTTTTGGTCTGCTCTTCCAATCTGGAAGACGGGAGAAGGAGGCAAAGTCTGAATCTTGGAAAGCAACAAACTGTTTGTGTGCTCAGTGTGCTGCTGAGACAAAAATACCCAGAGAGGCTCTGCAAGCACAGAGCTGCCCGTCCCTGCTGCTCGGATGGCTCTGCCCCTCTCACTTTGGTGGTCCCTTATTCAATGGACACGTTCCCCTGCATCCTGGCCACAAACGGGAACCCCAGGCGCTCCCTTCCCATGGGGGCAATGCTCAGAGGTGCTGAGCTGCACTGCGACCCTCTGAGATTTGGGGGATTTTGTGCTCAGTCCCCAAAGCTCAGCCCCAATGGAAGCACGCTGAGCACAGCGGCCCTGCAGGAACTCCAGGCAGGGGTTATGGGGGCAGAGCGCAGCACAAGGGCACAGCAGAGCTCTGCCACCCCCCCGACCCCCCCTGCGGCCAGTACTCACTGCTGCAGCTTCCCATATTCCCTCTCAAAGTCTCTCTCCACCTGCAGAAAGAAGAGACACAAATCAGCTGCACTGTGGGGCTGAGGGGCAGCATTTGTCCGCCCCATAGCAGAGCAGAGCTCAGCCCTCCCTACAGAACCCACAGCTGCACTCCTGCAGCCCCAAAGCAGCTCCACCCGACGCTGCACGCTGCAGCCCCCAGCCCTGCATGCACCCCCGCAGCAGTGCCAGCTCCCTCCTGTCTGCTATCTGGCAGCGAAGCTCCAGTGAGAGGAGATGATATTTTAAGGAGCCTTTCCTTCCACGCTGTCTGTTTTAACACACATTTAAAACATTCATTCCACACCTCGTCGACCGAATAAGCAAATGGATTTCAGTTGACCGGGCCAAGAGTAAATACGTGCGTTGTTGTTGTCATGGGATCAGACCTGGGCTGCTTCGTGCTGTCAGCCTGCCGTGCTATTCAGGGAATGCTGCGTGCTGGGAGCTGCCAGGACCCCAAACCCGCGTGCTGTGCTCGGGATCTCAGAGCTGGGCTCAGTGCATGAAACATCCCATATGGACGGCGCCTTCCAGTCTGCACTGCTGCTGGAAGAGCAATGCTCCAACATGGAGCTGAGCAACCTCCCTTCCTCTGATCTGTGTGCTGTGCGCTCCCCCAGCTCCCATCCCAGTGCTGGAGATGCTGTGGGGCTGGGATTGTTGGATACCCCACAGCGCCATGGGCTTCGGGATGCTCAGAGCCTGTAGGGCAGTGCTGTGGGGATGGGACTATCGGAGACCCCGCAGCGCCATGGGGTTTGGCACAGCTCGGGGCTCACAGTGGGGACGCTGTGGGGTCAGGAGCGGTGGGGTTTGGCACAGCCCCAGGGCAGTGCTGCTTCCAGACAGCTGCTGGCACCATCAGCTCCCACCATCCCAGGGATGCACGCGGATGAAAAAGCTCCGCCGAGCTCAGGCTGCCCTTTGCACTGCTAAAAATGGTCACTGGAGAGCAGGGATGGAGAGGTGTGGGGGCAGAGGGCCGCCCGCCATGGAGCCATGCAGCTGCCCGAGCCTGGAGGTCAGCGCGGCAGCACATGGGGAACCATCACCCTCTGTTTCTATGGCTGTTCCGGCTGCAAAAATAACCGCCGAGTATTGCGCTCTATTTATATGTCTGATGTGTGAATTGTTTGGGATGCAAACACAGAAGGGTCGGCTGTGACTCAGAACGGTGTCCTTTGGAGGGCGGTGGGTCCTGGCAGGGAGCTGCAGCACAGGGAGGGTCCTGCAGCACTGCGCTGCGCTCGGCTCCTCCACAAACACCTCCTGCAGAGGTGCTGGCCAAAAAACCAGCAGCCTGGGGAGGTTTGCAGCCCCTTCCCTTCTGCTGTTTGCTTCCTGCCATGCAGGGCGATGAACACAGCGGCGCCCAATGGAAGGGCAGGGAAATTTCTGCACCCCTGGAGAGGAAAAACTCCAACATTGCCCCCTGCGCCCAGCACAGGACCATGGAGGTTGGAAAAGACTGCCAAGATCATAGAATCATAGAATCACTACGGTTGGAAAAGACCCACAGGATCATCCAGTCCAACCGTTCACCCATCAAGATGCCCAAGTCCAACCCCAACCTCCCCCATGGCGCCTGTAGAACCACGAAGGTTGCAAGAGGTCATCAAGAACCCCAACCCATCCCACCATGCCCACAGAACCACGGAGGTTGGAAAAGTCCACCACGATCACCAAGTCCAACCCCAACCTACCCCCACCACGCCCATAGAGCCACGAAGGTTGGAACAGACCACCCAGATCACCAAGTCCAGCCCCAGCCCATCCCCACCATGGCTACAGAGCCACGAAGGTCGGAACAGACCATCAGGTCCAACCCCAACCCGTCCTGCTATGCCCACAGCATCATGGAGGTCAAAAAAGACCATCAAGAACCCCATGTCCAACCCCAACCCACTCCACTACGCCCACAGAATCATGGAGGTCAAAAAGAACTGCAAGACCACCAAGTCCAACCCCAACCCATCCCCACCGTGCCCATAGAACCACGGAGGTCAAAAAAGACCACCAAGAACCCAATCCAACCCCAACCCACCCTAACGTGCCCATAACCACATCCCTCAGTGCCACATCCCCACGCTTCTGAACACCTCCAAGGATGGTGACCCCACCACCCCCTGGGCATCCCCTCCCAACGCCCCGCCGCCGTCTCACAGGGGACAACACGTCCCCTTTGTCTCCCCGTGGCACGAGGTGACCGCGCACACCCAGCTGCCCGCGCTGACTGCGTGCCATCTCTGCAGACAGCTGCCCAGACTGCTCTTCTTTTTCACGCCCACAGCAGCAACTGCCTCCCACTCAGCGCTATTCCCGGATGGGGCCCAGAGAGGAGCCGGCCCTGCAGCACCCATGGGTGGGAGGACACGGGGATGGCGAGGAGGATGAGCAGGGAGCAAGCTGAGCACGTTCTGCAAAGCACAATTTGCACAGCATGCCGCTCCCGGTGGCAATCCTCAATGGCCACACGTCGCCGACACCAAGGGCGGAAGGCTGTGGACAGGATTAGCTCACTAAGGGCAAAGAGGACCAGAAGTACAGGCGAGAGAAGTGCAATGTCCCAAAGGGAAGTTCCCATCACGTCCAAACAACTCCGCTCCGCCGCTCTCTGCAAACTCAAAAACCAACCCGCTTCCGCAGCGAGCGCTTTGTCTTCGAGGCATCCGTGCTGCTCAATGCGGGATGGCTGCTTTTTAATAAACCCACATCAAGGAGGCCGAGTTCTTGTAAGAAAATGGTGCTCTCCTTTCTCAGCCACTTATTTCTGTTTGCCAACACCGTTCCCTCCGCCGCCAGCAGCCCTGGTGCTCGCAGGGCAGCACCGCCATCGCCGCCGCAGCGCAGTGAAACCAAAGGCAGCACTACAAAGAGATGGAAATAAGGGGCTGTGCTGGAGCTCCTCGCTCCCCCGAGGTGAATTTCCTTTCCTAGAGGAGGACGCGCTGATTTCTACACGTTCCAACGGGCTGAGCCTTCTCACGGGTGTTGGGAAAAAGCAGGAAGGAAACACTTCCTTCTCTTCAAGAAGCAGAGCCGTGTAATTAGGTCAAACTCTGCCATATGGTGGAACGCCACTGAGATCAGCTGTGCCACCGACCAAGGGGTGGCCAAGGGAGAATCACAGACGTTATGGTCAGGAGGGTCCTCCGAGATCACCAAATCAGTCATCAGCCCATCCCCACCACACCCAAAGAACCAACGGGGTCGGAAAGGACATGCAAGGCAACGGATCGGATGGCTGGCACCCATGGAGGTGCTGTGGGTGGATGCTCATGCAGCCCATGGGGCCCTGAGCCACGGCGACGAGCAGCGCGCAGTTTGGGACTGCATGGGCTTCTCCACCCAGCAGCTGGAGGAGCTGTGCAGTGCTTCCAGGATGGGCACCGAGGAGCACCTCCAGAGCAGAGCGTCCCATTGAAGAGCGCGAAAATGGGCAAAATGATTTAATTCACCTCCCCTCATTTCACCCCACAACTTCTGCGACATTTCCTCCGTCGTTACTTCGAGATTTCCAGCTCTCTGCTGGAGCCCAATGGAAACAGCGGGACGGACAGCTGCATGGAATCCTGCTGTTCTGTCCGACCCCGGGGAGCACAGGGCTGCCGGGATGAGTCAATGAGCCCCTGGCCCTGCCAAGCTGACTCACCCAGGTTAGCAGAGCAGCACAGCTCCCCGTGAGCCAGAGCAGGGCAAGGGAGAGGAGGCTGGAAGGCGGGGGTACGGAGGGGCCGCGCTCCCATTCCCCAAACCAACAGGTGAGAGCCAGCTGGCTGCTATGTGCAGCTCTGAGCCCCACGGGGACATGTGTCACCTCCTTCCCATCTCGGATAACCCCAGCCCTGGCAAGGAGCTCTGCACGGCCTCGAGGGGACGCAGGTGAACTTCACTGAGCGCCGGAGCTGAGGATAAGCACAGCTCTGGTTCCTGCATAACCTCTGCTCAGCCCTGGGGGAGCATCTCTGCCATAAGAGGCTTCATCTGCGTATGGGGTTTGAGCAGGAAGCGTTCAGCGCGGATGGGATTCTAACAGGGTTAAGTCCCATCAGTGGGCATTAGTTCCAAGGGCTGCAGCCCCCCCGGCACGGAGCGCTCCCAGCCGGCACCAGCTGCTCCTGCCAGGGGAGAGGAGGGGAGAGATTACACTGTCTGCAATAGGATTTGCCCAGGTTAAGGTGCAAACAAAGCGGCGGCCGTCTGGGGGGTGGGAGATCACCCCGGCTGACCGGGCAGCGCTCCGTGCTGGGGTTCCCTTCCCGCAGGGCTGACACATTGCCCTCCTTCAAAGGCTGAGAAGCGAGTGGGCACGGGGAGCTGTGACTAATCCCCCGTGCAGCCTCAGCGCATCGCCTCACAACTGCAACAGGCCCAGATCTGACACCAAGCCCAGCACAGAAAAAAATAACAACAACAGGAGAAGAGAACAGAAAAAAGGCGCTCTGGTGAGCTCAGCCTCCTGGCACAGCACCGCACTCCGGTTACAAACCACACGGCGAGCCAGAGCAGTGCAGCTCGAACAAATGCCTTTCCTTTTCACCTCCCCAGTGCCCAGAGGTTGGCAGCAACTGACACAACTTCTCTTCTTTAGGGAAGGAAGGACGGATGGGGACAGGCCTGCAAACAGCACTGCAGAACGAAGCTCCGCTGCGGGATGCTCAGAGCTGTCCCATGTAATGCACACACGTGTGTGTGTGTGTGTGTGTGTGTGCAGGAGCAGTGCGTGCTGGCTGGCTCTACACCCATCCCCACCACTCCCATGGGTTTGTGCAGAGCATGGGACCTGCTGCACTGCCCCAGCCCAGCCCCCAGCAGGAGAGGGCAAAACCAGCAGGAAAAAAAGCAAAATTGACCCAAATGTGGGGCTGGGTGAGATGGAGACGGCCACGGACAGCCATGGCTCTCAGGGCAGCAGTTCTGGCAGCCGGCACTGGGAAGAACAGGAGGCAAATCTCCAGGTCCTGGGGGCTGCTGGAAAGCAGAAACAAATGGGAGTGAACTGCTGTGGCCCTTTGGTCCGTCCCAGCATTGCAGTGCCGCCCACCTGTTGGCCAAGAGCTGGGAGATGCAAGAATGGCACGGAGGGACACGACGGGGCCTTTCCATCCCTGCTGCCCACCGTGGATTCTGTGCTGGCAGTTTGGAGCCAGCTGCCAAGCATTCACTTTGGAGAAGGAACACGGGCTGGTGCTCGGGGTGAGGCGTGCAGGACGAAGGCAAGGAGCATCTGCAGGAGAAGGGGAAGCACCGCAGGCAGCTGCACGCGGCAGCAGCGGGGATGGGAGCCACGGGAAGACAAAATGCTTCTTTAATTTGCTTCTAAAGCAAATGCTGCACAGCACAAATTAATTCACGCCCGAGCACTGAGCATCTCAGCTTATGAGCCTTTCTTTGGAAACAGTTATATTCAGCGATCTGAACCACTCCTCCTCCTCCATCTGCTCAGCGAGGATGAACAAACAAGCCACCGCCGAGCGAGGGAAGGAAGGAAGGAGGGAAGGAAGGAAGGAAGAAAGGCAGGCAGGCCACATCTCTGTCTCCAAGGAGAGCCATCCCAGCCCCTTCCAGGCAGCAGCTGGGCCCGGAGCAGCGCTCCCTCCAGCGCAGGGCTCCCATGGCAGGAGGAACGGAGCGCTGCAGGGCTGCAGGTCCCGCTCGCTCCCCGCCGCCTCCTCGTGAAGTGGGGCGAGCCAAAGTGCCGCCCTGACTCACAGCCACATGATCAGAGGCTGCGGCTAAAAACGGGGAATTGCTTTACTCACTGTCTTGGGTACAATCTGTTTCTTGGGCTGCCCGATCTTGAACGGGATCCTGGGAAAGAGAGAAGGGAGAGGGGAGGAAAACTGTGAGCAAGAGGCGATGCAGCAAAAGCCTGCATCCATGGGGGGAGCGGGGGGTGGATGTGGGGTGGGGACCCCCAGCACAGCGTGGCACCCCACTGAGACCCCCAGACCCCCATAGGCTGCACTGTGCTCTCCTGCCATAGGAATAAAGGCACTGGGTGCTGCAAAACCCACAGCCGCAGAGCGCGCTCTGTTACAACACCAAGAGCAAAGGCTGTAAACATTCAGAAAGAGGGCATTAAAAGGAGCAACGATGCGAGCTGCTTCACCTGCCAGCACCACAGCCCTCAGATCCCTGCTGAAATCTGGGTTACCTACATGGTTCCCACAGTGTGAGTTAGCTCAGAGGTGAGGAGCACTCCCAGGAATCACCCAGCACGGCAGGGCAGCCCTGTCAGGTCCTTACAGACAGGCGGCCACCCTGAGAACAACTGGGTTTTTATTCTACTGATGAGCAAAAAGAAAGGCAGGGACACAACCGCTGCCCTCGGGGTGTTTGACTGAGCCGTGGAGGCGATGCTCCATTCCAACACCTCATCCAGCATCTCCCAGCGCAGCGACAGAGGAAGGTCAGTCCTGTGACAAATGCAGGCCAGCACCTCGCAGCCCATCAGCATCACACCCAGCGCTGTGCAGGGTTCCATGAGAGCCGCCCCAATTCTCACCCTGTACCCAAATCCGGGGCTGCTCCCATCGCTCCAGGCTCCCCTTCGTGCAGGAAGGAGCTCCCAATGCAGCCACACAACCCAACCCACCAACCCCAGCCCTCCCCACCTCCATCCAGCTGAGCTCTGGCACCGTTTCCAAACCAACGGTGTAATTAAGCCGCCGGTAACGAAGCCGGGGCGCCGACCTGAGTCACCACGATAAGTGCACGCTTTGGGCACAGCTTCCTGTTTATTGTCCTCCCCTTCGACCGATGGCATTTTGGGCTGTTAACCCTTTCCAGCCGCCGTGAATCACCCCTCCTTTATAAACAAACCCTCTGCTGGTGTGTAATTAGCGCTCGGTGCCCGGCCGCGCGGTGCCTTACAGGAAACGAGCGCCAAAAATGAGAGAAAAAACACGGATTTTTCTCAATGTTTTCCTGGCGTGAGGTCAAATCTAAACCCAGCCGAGGTGCCCCTGCTGCCCTGTGGCACACGCTGTGCTTTGGGAAGGGCAGCACCAACCCAGGCAGGATGGGGCCACAGTGAGCTGCGGGTGGGCAAAAGGCGGCACAGCACAACTGGGGAGAAAAAGGCACAGCTGAGGCAAAAACTGCTCTGTAAGCAGGGGGAAGGAGGGAGACATCATGATGTGGGGCTGGAGACCCCCCACACCCAGCCCTGCAGGGCTGCGTCCAGGGGAAAGCGCAATTAAATGGCAATTAATGCATTTAAGCAGTAAGAGAGGGAGCTCCGGCCCAGCTGCAGCCACGTGGGGGAGGAGGAGGAGGAGGATGAAGGCAGTGCCATAAGCAGGTCAGGGATGGGGGTCCCTCTGCTCTGTGCTGGGGGGATCACAAACCTCCCTGCTCTCCTCCTGAACAAAAGGAAGGCAGCAGAGCTCCACGAACACAGAACAGTAAATACCTCTATCAGCATCGTGATGCCACTTGGCTAATTATCTGTCTGGGTACAACCTGCAGCGCACAACCCTGCGCAAAGCCACGTCTATTTGCTCTGTTGGTTTTTTTTTTTGGGTGGCTGTTGTTGTTGTTCTGTGACAATTGGAGACAATCTTCCCGGTTGTTGCCAACTCTTTTTGCTTTCTGAATACGGATCTGCAGAAAGAAAAGCAAAAGAAGGGAACCAAAGCAGAAAGGAACAGCAGCGCGGGGAGCGGAGCATCACAGGATGGGGGGCACAGGGACAGCACAGCCCCACGCAGCCCAGTGTGGAGGGGGGTTGGGGTGAGAGGATCACCTGAAGAGGGCAAAGCAGAACTGGTGCTTTTTTTTTTCCCCCCCCCTCTTTCTTTTTGTTTGCTTTCTCATTTTTGCTGAGCCACAGAGCGCCAGGGCTGTTGTTTGGGGTGTGAAATGCTTTGAAACCGCGTTCCTGAAGAGCGCGCTGAGTCAGCCCAGCACTGCAGGCTGCTATGGGGTCGGGGGCTGCTATGGGGTTGAGGGGCTGCTATGGGGTCGGGGGGCTGCGTGGAGGGCAGAGCTCTGAGCAGGGTGGGAAGGGCTGAAAGCGGGGAAAGAAGTGTGGGTGGAGAGAACCCTGCGAGCTTCTGCTGAGGGATGAGCAGCAACCCCAGGGAGGGGAAGGTGGGAGAAGCTGTGCTTCGTTCTCTCTGAAGTTTCCCCAGCAATGCCATATATTTACTCGGCTTCTCCATGCGCACACCCAGGGCTGCACACCAAAGGATCTCAGTTCCCCCCCCGGGATGCAACGGGGAGCTGCAAATAAACCTCGTGGGCAGAGGGGTACAGCTCAGCGGGGTCTGTGGGGAAATGGGGATGGAACGGAGCTCCCACTCTGCTGCATCCCCCGGGAACGTGGGCGCAGAGGGACCGCAGCGTCAGCCATAGCGATCCATTTTGGGGGGCAATGCTCCCTTTGCCACCTTGGCAGCCTGAAGATGGGCTCTGGCATCGCCTCCATCCCACGGCACATCCTATGGGGCCCATGGTGGGGTCAGCTCCCCAAGCAAAGCTCAGCCCCCCAAATGGTGCTCCTACAGAACCCTGCGGTGCCCCCAGGAGCGCAGGGCAGCACCCCTGGGTTGTCACCACGCCCACAGCACAGCGAGCTTCGGCCAAGGAGGACAGGGAGCAGGAAGAGCTCACAGCCACCCCATCATGCAGCACTCTACAAACACCAATGGAGCACTCTGTGCTGCCCAAACCCCCTCCAAAGCCCACGAGGAGCCCTAAAGCTGAAGCACGCAGCACTGGGTGCCCTCAGAGCGGGGAATTCCAGCCCCGTGCAGGTGACAAAGCCACCACCACCACCGGGATCCATCGCTCCATCCCTCTGGGTGCACTGCTGTACTACACCGTGTCCATGGCAACCGCATGCACCATCCCACCCCGCTCCCCCCCACCCCCCTCCTCACAGCTCAACTCATAGCAACGGCTCCAAACACGGCACTGAAATGCAAAAAGGGGAAAAAATGATTCCAACGCATCGCAAAAAAGCTCCTGCTGGAGCAGCTCCATGCCGGGCGCAGGCCTGGCTCCCCACAGTGTGGGAGGGAATGGGGTGGGGAGAGGCAAGGAGGGGGTCAGAGGGGCCGGGACCCCCCCAGCATGGGCTGCTGGCTGCATTACGGCCTCATCCCCGCAAACAGATGGGGAACGGACGGCCCTGCAGCACGGGGAAACACAAAGGTGTGAGAGGTGCCGGCGTGGGTCGGTGCTGGCTGAGCTCAGCACTGCTGTCCACGTGCAGCCCCTGCGCAGCGCTGCTCCGCTCCCTGCTTTGAGCAAATCCAAACCCATGTCAGAATACGCTCTCCCACCCATTCCGAGATGAGCATGAAAAAAAAAAATAATGATGTTTTACTCACCCATCAAAAGAAAATTACTCACGCCAGGCGCGTGGGTGAGCAGAATTCTGCAAGGCTGTTTTAGGCCCTGACTATGCTACAAAAATATCCATTTTAAGCATGGTTGTGAAACGCGGTTGTGGCTCAACTCTAACGCTGCTTTTTTGCTACCTGCACAAAGGAGATGGAAAAAATAATAATTAAGAAATCCCCACCGCGGCGCTTCCGCTCAGCGCCGGCATCTGTTGGCTTCATCCCATCTGATGTCACAGAGCTGCGAAGGCTGGAAAAGACCACTGAGATCATCGGGTCCAACCATCAACCTACCATCACCACAAAAACCTGAAATTCCATCCAGCCTCCGGCTTCGATGGGAGCTGGGGTGGAGGGGAGCATTGGATGGACCGTGGAGAGACCACGAGCCATTGGCTACTGACCACGGAGGGACTGTGAGCCATTGGCTACTGACCACGGAGGGACCGTGAGCCACAGACCAAGGCCCACTGACCATTGGGTGACCATGAGCCTTGACCATGGAAGAACAGCAAGCCACCGACCAAAGCCCATTGGCCATGGATGGACCACGAGCCATTGACCAAGATCCATTGATTATGGAAGGACCACGAGCCACTGATCTCATAGGAACCGTGAGTCAGTGACCATGGAGTGACCACGAACCACTGACCAGGCCCACAGACCACGGTGTGACCACGAGCCATTGACCACTGACCACAAAATGCCCAAGGTTTGGGCTCCACATCCACATCCATTGAGGGCACAGCAGCCACCCAACGTGGCCACAGCACAACCCCAGCACACACAGCACAAAATCAACAGCTCTGAGCTGCTCTTCTGCTACCACCACCCCACACACCTCCCCGGTGCTCCCTGCCATAAACCCCCAACCCGCTGCCCTCCCCAGGACAGTTGGCTCAACTCCACCCGGCCCATCCTCCCCTCCACCCCAAACTATTTGGGAGAACACGCTCACATCTCTATGGCTTCCTATTGACAAAGACCTGAGAACGAAGTCCTGCACACCCATAGCCCCACTCCTTTCCCACATGGACCCCCCACCCTCGGTGCACTCGGAGCCCCCCGCCCTCCAGCTCAGCACTCAGCAGCTGAGCCAGGTCAGGCTTTGTCCCAGCACCCCAGCAGAACACAGCGAGCAGACACGTGCTTTGTGCTGCCTCACCATCAACATTTGCTTCGCATGTTTTTTCTCCCAGTAAACAGCAGCTGTTGCAGCGGTGCCGCCGCGCTCGCATCTCGAGCTGTCACACCGCTCCAAGCCCCTTCCCATCCCTACATTGGGAGCCAAAAGAGGAGGAATTCGGGAGTCTGTTGATGAGCTGCAAAGCATTTGGTCTTATGTGGTTCCAAGAACCTTAAAAAACCCTTCAGATTGCCACAAACGAGACGCTCGCTGCAACGGAAGGCGACGATGCGGTGAAAGCCACGATTTCAATTCTCAGCAGCTCAGCTCCTTCCAGGGGGACCTGCAGGGAGCACAGGGGGGTGGCACAGCTCTGAGGGCACCAACAGCCGCAGTCTGAGCCCTGCAGCCCTGCACACCTAAAGGAAGCCATTGAGCTTTAGAAAATCTCACAGCCGGCCGTGCAGGCTGCCTCAAAAACAGGCTGACTCCTGCTCTAACAGAGCACAGCCCATAAAGGCAGCACTGCTGAGCTGCTCAGTGCAGGAGTCGGGGCTTTAATCCACCTGCAGGCAGCCTCACAGCTCCCTGCAGCAATGCCTGCCCTCTGTGCAGCGGGAAGGATGCATCTCCAGCTGCGGAGCGGAGCAGAGGATGCAACGTGTCGCGTTCCGTCCTGTTTGGACAGAAGGAGGGAAAGCAAAGGGTTAAGAAGGCACTGCATCAGGGCCAGATACCGTCCTGCAAAAGGGAGCCGTGAGTCAGGGTGATGCATGGAAGGAAGCGGAGATCTCTCATCACATCATAGGTTGAGCTGAGGACACAGCTCCTGCCCCACGGATGACCCCAAAGGACGCAGTGAGCAGGGCCGGGGCCGGGACACCCCTCACTGGGGTGAGGCAGACACACAAAGCAAACAGAGCCCTCTCCCAATGTGGGAACAGAGCTCACCCTCTGCACGGAGTGCCCACGCCGGGTGCTTTTCCCCTCTGACGTCCACAGCACAGCAGGCAGAGCCGGGGTGCTGCATCTGCTGCGTCATCGAACCCCACAGCCAGCCACGGCCCGGCCCCACATCAATGGGGCGATTCATCGGGGCGGGCGGCTGCGCTCAGAGCTGCAGGAATCAGCGAGGCTGAGGGCCAACCATTGAGGCTGCACTGAGGGCGATTGTGTCGCTCACACACAGCTGAAGCCCTGCAGGGCCCAAGTCGCCATGCTGACGCGTGAGCTGCAAGGCGCTCAGCGACTGACGTGGGGTTTGGTGTTAAAAAAGAACGGGGCATCTCAGCTTCCCAGGGAGCCACAGACCCCTCCTTCACACAACAGCCTTTTATTCCTCAGCAGCAAAAGCAAAAGACATCTTTCTGCACAGGGCACGTGCATCGCACACCGGCCAGCACGCGCCACAAAACGGCTCCACACTGCAGCACAAGGCACGCTGCACTGCTGCCAGCAAGATGCTTGGGCTTCCCCTGCAGCCCCATGGCAGCCAGCAGCGGGCGGGGGGGGCACACAGCGATGCTGAGCTTTGCTGGCAAACCTGCCAACGGAGCAGACCAGAAGGAGCCAACCTAAAGCTAAGTGTAGTTCAACCTGAAGGGTGAATTAATAGGGGTTGGGTGAGCATCGACCTGAGCCCACCTTACACGTGTGGGAATCCCGGCCTTATTGCTGTGGGGCAGCCCCACATCGCTGCTGTGTGCTGTAGGGTCACACGGGGAGGATTTGGGGCCTCCACACACCGTGCTGCAGCTGCGTGTCCCACACGGCACCGACCTGCCAACCCTACACAGCGCACAGCCACCAACCCTACGAGGTCAGTACCGACCTGCCCACATTATGGGGTCTGTAACTGCCCACCCCACACACTGTGCACCTGCAGTCCCTGTAAGGCCTACAGCTGTTCACCCCATATGGTCTACAGGTGCCCACTCCACATATCACACACCTGCAGACCCTGTCAGGCCTACCTGCCCACCCCAGAAACCACCACATCCCACCCCCCT